AACAGCTGGAGCGAATGCGGCGAGGCCAAGTCAAGGGTTGGGTCCAGGAGAAGATCCAAAAGGTGTGCTGGCAGTGGGGTCGCCTGGGAGTCGGCGTGTGGGACCTTCGAGAGAAAAGAAGAAAGAAGATCCCTTGATAAGTCATCAGCCAAATGGTTAGACTTGGTGTCAATATACTGAGGGGTGAGAGAGAATGTGCATCTAGCCTCTATAAAGGCCAGTGTACGCACAACGTGGGCCACTCTGCTCGTGCGGAAGCGCAAACATGCCACGACGGCCTGATTGTCGCAGAGGCACACGACCTGGCAGCTGCCCCACGTGGGTCCCCAAACTGAACACGCCAGGACGATCGGAAGGAGCTCCTTCACCATGTTATGCCCGTACCAAGCACCGCAACCCCATGAACCTGATGCATCAGATGCCATCTGAAGACGTGGAAGGTAGGAGGGGGGAGGGAGAAATGAGATCCCATTCCAGCTCGCTACGAACGTGCGCCACCACATCAGGTCTGACCGGAAGTCCCGGTTCAACCGGATTGGGTGAGGCCGTGTCGGGTGTGATGGCACGGCATGGAGCAAATCGATCATCCGTCGGAGAAAAGAGCGACCGGACCGAACCACCTCGCATGCGTGGTTTAGGGTTCCAATGAGAGATTCGAGTTCCCGTCGTCCACAGACTTTCCGGTCGCCCCCACTTCTCTAAAAGAGTTTGGAAGCGGTGAAGCTTTTCCGGTGGCAAGCGCAGCTGACCACAGGCGGTGTTGATCTCGATGCCGAGATAAGTCAGGCATGTCGTGGGCCCGTCCCGCTTGTGTTCCGCAATCGGGACGCCCAACTGGGAGCACGTCCGGTCTAGGGTTGCCATGGCCTCTGCGCATACGGTGGTGCTGGGAGGGCCAATGACGATGAAATCGTCCAAGTAGTGGAAAACGTGTTTGACACCCCGATTCCGTATGCACCACTCCAGGGCGTCGGCCACGGCATTGAAGATCTTTGGGGCCGAACGGAGACCAAATGGCAGCATTGGGTCCACATATAGCATCCCGTCCCATTCCACTGCCTGCAACGGGCGGTCCAGAGGGTGGACTGGAATAAGGCGATAGGCCGACTCGATGTCGATTTTGGCAAGAAGGGCTCCTTGCAGGTAGGAGGCTGCCACAGTTGCTACTTGCTCGACAGTGGAGTACGTCAATGAGCAGAGGTCCGGGTCGATACCGTCGTTGACGCTATATGATGGAGGGTACGACAGATCTGTAATCAACCTCCATTTTCCTGTGTTGTGGCCCTTTACCCCAAATCAGCTTACATGGAGCGGGGGTAACTGGGTGACCACAGAGGGTGGGAAGGGGCCGAGCATGCGACTCAGAGCGCACTCGTTGGCGAGGTAAGCTTGCACGACCTCCGCGTGCTGCAGAGCGGACATCGTGTTACGAGGGGCAGACCGTAGCGGGGCATCATGATGAAAGCCGATCCGGAACCCATCTGTCATGCCCCGTAGCAGGTATTGCACGAATGCCCTGTCCGGGTGATCCCCCGGGGCCGATGCCCAGGCAGCTGGGACTAGAGGTGAGTGCACCGGGCTGCGCAGCGGGTGCACTTCCGTCCTGGAGCCGGAGCCGGTGTCCATGCACAACAGGTCAGCCGTGTATTTGTAGAATGATCCCCATTCTGTGGGGATGTCAGTGACATTACCAATCGGGGGGGGGGGTAATTAACTTGAATTTAGCTATTTTATAGTTATTTTATTTATTTATTTATTTTTTTCCATGACATGCATGCAGAAGCGAGTAGGAGTATGCTACTAAATGAATGCAGTCTACTGGCAACTCGTACGTGGGCCTGCTGCGGCCTGCCTGGTTCGCTGTTATGACCGTTACTGCTGCTCGAGTCCACGGTTGGCCCCTGACGGGTAGGGGTTGCTGCGGCTGGAGCGGGGGTGCGACTACGTGCCGGAGCACCTCGGCCTGACGACGGCTGCCTATTCAGGCAGTTGACAGCCGCATGTGGGCCGGAGCAGTCGGTGCATGCGTGCAGGTACCGACATCCGGTGAAGCGGCAGCGGTTGCTGTTAAAATTCCTGCAGACTTCCTGTGCCTTCAGTGGCGCTGTGCTTGGCGGCCCGGATGCGGCGGGACCAAACTGGAGGTGTGGGGTTCTCTGGAACCACCCAACGAAGGGTGGGTTGGGGTTGTGAGGGCAGCCTGCCGCCGCGTGGTCCTCTGAGAGGCAGTGGGGGGCACTGCGGGTGCCTCTTGGCCCGCCCAGTGAAGGCCTCACTGTAGAGCCTCTGGTTGGGAACCGACCAGTTGAGATTCTTCGCCGCCAGCATTTCGCGGCGGTAGAGACGGTCGTAAGCAACCCAGTTCGCACCCTCGTAAGAGTGGGCAGCGTGGATGATGGTGGTCTGGTATGCCCAGAGTTCTGCAGCCTTCTCCGGGAATCTGGAGGTGATGACGGCGGCCATGCGGCCAAAGCACTCAAGCCAGACGCGGAGTGTGGTTACCGGCGGCTTGCTTGGACGGCGGGGGGCACCGCCGGTGTCTGAGGAGACGGGTTCCTCGGGCCAGATGTCCGCCCGGAGTTTACCCATTTCCACGAACTCCAGCGCGAGGAGTTTCCTCACCACCTTTGGGAGGCACGATGGCTGATGGGTGAATGGCCCTGGAGCGTGTAGTCGCCGCAGCTCCACATCGCCGCTCCTGACTGCGGGTGCCGGTCCGATGTGGTCTGTCAACGCGGCAGATGCCAAGATGTCGAGGCCACAAGGCGCAGGGTCACTTGGGGAGAAGGTGGGTATGGCGGACAGCCGGCTGGCGTCCGGTACGCCCCCTGACTCCGTAGTGCAGCGTCCTGCAGCGGGGGCGGGAGGGGTGAATGCTAGCGGGCGATAGCATGCCCAGCGTGACGCGGGCCGGCGCCCAGGTATATACGTGCGCGCCAACCGGGCGCGACCGGGCCGGCGCCGTATGGGCGTGCATAGATACCGCTGCGCGCAGTCACAGAACGTGTATCTACCGCCGCAATGGTGACTCTCCGGCGGCACGGGGTGGACTCCTGTAGTTGTGCGGGTCTCAGTCGAGGCCGACGACGGGACGGAGCGCGTCGCGGCGTTGGTTATCATCTCTTGGATGATAGCCAGCTGGGCCGGCGTGAACTGGCCGGTAGAGTCGAGGGAGGCCGGAGAAGCAGAGCCACTGCCGTCTGTTGCCATCGCGCTGAGGGCTGGCGGAAGAGACGAAGGGAGGGGGGGTGTGACTATGCTTGCACGTGAGGTGAGGTGTGAACTTCCCGACGACGCAGGTGTCCGTGCCGAGGAACGGCGAGGCGTGAAACAAGGACGGGGCCGGGGGCTACTCAGGTGGCGTGCAGGTAAGTTGAAGCACGAAAGAGACCCGACGATCCGCACTGCACCGACGACCGAGGTGGGAGAAACAACGGGAAGGGGAAAGAGGGAGGAAACCTGCACACGAGGCGCGGCCGAACGACAAGGGGCGAAGGGAGAGAGGCTTCTCTGCCTGAAAATCTGACGCTGCGAGTAGGACGCGACTGTCCGTCTAAGATTCGCCTTGAAACTGACACCGTCGCACGTGGTACTCGTCTGGGCATACGCGTGCTGGCGCGTGCGCCTCATACCGCTTGGTATGACGTCGGCGCGCTGCGGGGGCTGGCTCCTTCCGTGAACTACGTTTAACCTACTGTTAAACTACATTGAAAAAATAGTTCTTTTCTGTTTGAGTCCATCTGTACTGAAGCCCTACAGGTAAACGTCTCTATGGCAACTGAAATATGCATCAAGGGTATATACTTCCTAACATCTGGTGCCAATTATCAGCCCAAAAATATTTAGGTTATGTGGAATAGAGATACACATCAGTTACTATACAACCAAAGGAGTATTTCACATGATGACTTACCCTTTCTTCTTCATACATGTTCTCAAAGGAGACTCTTTTCAATCCTAATGAAAAAAGTGCCAGGGCAGTGTGCATTTAAATGACATAATAAATCATAAAATCACCAACTATGCCTAAGTCCAAATTTCAGGTTTTCAATTTTGTCAGACGCGTGGCATCCCTTGGCGCATTGTGATGCGCACGCATAAGTAAACGCATGTGCCTTACCACTAATTGATGGGCTGGGTTTAGTTGTGTCTCTTGCCAGCTCGCGCAGAGTCTGACGCGGGCTAACTACACTACTAGAAGCATGGGAGAGGCGGTACACGCTCTGCGTTGCATCTTCTGGTGCCTCCGAGGTACGCAGAGCACGCGGATCGATCAGACCACGGTAAGCCGTCCCATCCATTGTGTATTTGCATATTGCCTTTTTCGCGCTCTAGCTTTGCAACGGAGCAGTCCAGAGAAAACCGTTCGAAATTTCTGACCTTCATTTCCCGTTAACTCGCCAGTATAATGGCCGTTAATCTTCCTCCGGGAATGGAAGTAGAAATTTGAATCAAGGATTAACCCCCGTGCATGTTGGCAGCAGTATCCCATTGTCTATCTGTCAGTCTTTTTATTGAACTATAGGCTACAATAAAAAGGATATATACCTGTAATTTCACTGTTGGGATAATAAGAGATTTAGGAGATATAGAGCGATATGTGGCAATACCCAGCCAATGAATTAGCGGTTCCTTTTGCACATGAATAGTATATGTAGGGTGCATTTTACACTGCCTCTACACAGCAAAGTCGGGCGCTGTAGACGGATTTAAACGGAATTCCGTGTTGCGTGTGAATACGGACTACTCACGGAAACCGCGTGAACGGTCACCGTATTCTGGTCCGCGTGTAACCGTGCTCCTCCGTTCTGTCCGCCGAGTATTACAGATGCACGCAGCCACTCCTCGCTCGCGGAGCCACGCCTTCTCTACAACGATAAGGCGCGGCTCCGCGAGAAGCATGGCTGAGCCTAAGGGAAAGCGTCGTAGAGATCGACTATTCTGCCCTCACTGTGACGAGTATTTGTCTAATTCTACTTTTTATCGGCACAAGGAGGCCTTTTATATTTTTGTTTTCAATGTTTTTTTAATAATAATCATGAAGGTCTTAGACCATGCACGCATACAAAGGTATGAAAAACATGGTTAATCTGTTAGTGTTTGACTAGATGCTTTTCTCAGGGAAATCATCACCATTTTTCCAGCCCTTGTGCGTTCCTCTAGAATATTATTTCGCCAAAATTGACGAACAGCTTCTATACTTTCACTAGCTTTGACTTTTAGCCTTCGGTTTTCAGCACTGTAGTATTCTGCCATGTCTCTGTACATCGAAGTGCTATGAAGTAGTGTAGCATTATGATCTGTTTCTGATGAACGGCAGGAAGGTAGATTTAGTGTACCGGTATCACTTTCTTCAAGCTGGTCCGAAACGCATATGAAGTGGTCATTAATTTTTTATGCATCACTGCTCTCCGAATTTTAACTGCTGTATTTTCTAAAGCAGTGGCAAGAGCTTCTCGCTTTTTTTTACACTCTTCCTCTTTTTCTTTTATATCTAACTCTTGATGAAGCTTGAACTTTTGCATTCTCTCTCTCCAACGCCTTCTCAATGCCTCGTTACACCTTTCCTCCCACCTAGCTGCCTTCTGTGCCTTTTTTCGTGCTCTAAAATTCTTTCGTTTGGTATGTTGTCTTCTTAGCTTCTGCATGGAGATATGAAAGTGGTGAAAAGAGTAACCAACATTTTTTTTAAAAACACACCCAACATGAGGTCAGCGGGATCAGAGTCTATTATACCCTGCCCACGTCCAACATGAGGTCAGCGGATCAGAGTCTATTATACCCTGCCCACGTCCAACATGAGGTCAGCGGATCAGAGTCTATTATACCCTGCCCACGTCCAACATGAGGTCAGCGGATCAAGGTATACCTTGCCCACGTCCAACATGAGGTCAGCGGATCAGAGTCTATTATACCCTGCCCACGTCCAACATGAGGTCAGCGGATCAAGGTATTATACCCTGCCCACGTCCAACATGAGGTCAGCGGATCAGAGTCTATTATACCCTGCCCACGTCCAACATGAGGTCAGCGGATCAGAGTCTATACCTGCCCACGTCCAACATGAGGTCAGCGGATCAGAGTCTTGCCCACGTCCAACATGAGGTCAGCGGATCAAGGTATACCTTGCCCACGTCCAACATGAGGTCAGCGGATCAGAGTCTATTATACCCTGCCCACGTCCAACATGAGGTCAGCGGATCAGAGTCTATTATACCCTGCCCACGTCCAACATGAGGTCAGCGGATCAAGGTATACCTTGCCCACGTCCAACATGAGGTCAGCGGATCAAGGTATACCTTGCCCACGTCCAACATGAGAGTCAGCGGATCAGAGTCTATAACCCTGCCCACGTCCAACATGAGGTCAGCGGATCAAGGTATACCTTGCCCACGTCCAACATGAGGTCAGCGGATCAGAGTCCAACATGAGGTCAGCGGATCGGTCTATACCTCACCCACGTCCAACATGAGGTACCCGACTAGTATGTGTAATACATAAAGCAGTGCATTTTTACTTACCGCCTCAGATAACTGGCGTTTAGCACCCACTGGGGTTGTTGGCGGAGTGATATCTCTGATTGTCTAGGATAGTTGCAAAAGTAATGAACTGTTCAAGTGAAACATAAAAAATACCTTTAACGGGGAGTAAGGCGGCATATATGCGGAATGGTAGGAGAGAAGTAGATTCCGAGTATCGTCATCATCAAGACTGGTCGCCATTTTTAGCTGGAAGCCCGCGTTAGTGCACATTAGTCTCGTTCCCAGACCATGGAAAGAGGTCTGGGAACGAGACTAAGCGCACTTTCGAATGTCACGCGTTGCAGTGGCCATTTTTTTATCTGTGTGTGGAGTGCTATCAGCGGTGTATCCTTCGTGATCTCCCTCTCATATTGCCACCAGAATGGATAGTATAGTCGAGGTGACTCCCTCTTAAGACCACAGGGTATGGGGTTGGGGTTTCAACTGATTGCTCGTCAAATGTACCCTGCCGAGGACAACCGAGAACAACCGAGAATACTCGGAGGTGAATGTTTCCGAGGTTGGTTTTGGGCAGAAAATTGACCAGATTGTGTGCCTGGTGCGTGAGCAAGCTAAGGAGACGGCAGTGGTCAAGGAGGAGTTGTGTTCCCTACGAGCAGACATGAAAGAGCTACATACGCGTCTCTCTGAATCCGTAAGCTCCACTCCAAGCTCTCTTTCAGGGTCTAGCACTTCTGGCTCAACCCATAAAAAGTCGAAAATTCCTACGCAACTTTCTGTAAGCAAAACAGTAGCTATTGAGTAAGTTCTCATAATTTGTTCTGTGGATGTGGTTGCTACAGGCTCTTGTCAAAGTTCTACATGAAAATGCAGAGACGTCTAAGCGGTTGGTTGGATCTGAGCCGTAAGTATACCTCCAATGCCTGCATGTACTTTTATATGTGTGCCTGAAGGTACAACAGTGCCTTAAATCAGAGCGCAAAAGAGTACCTGGTTTCACAGTTGACGGAGCAGTGTTCCGACAAATACTCTCCTAAGAGAATTCAGCGTAAGTGTGTCTGGTTTTATTAACCCTCGCCTGCCCACATGCATGGCGAGGGTTATTGTAGTTGGTCTGTCTGTGTTTCAGTTTGTGTGTGTGCGTCCGTCCGTCCACCGTTTTTCTCGGTGACCGCGGAAGCTCTGAGCGTCAAACATGGATATGTTATCGGGTAGGAGGCACGCATGGCAAACTAAGATTCTGGAGCGGAGAAGGCCAGGGAAGCTGGTGAAACGGCTGTCAGCCAGGGTGGGTGTGCATTAATTAGAGATTGCAGACGATCGCTGTGACAGACGGCTCCTTCCTGCACGCAATGGACCAAATGGGAGGCTGGTAATCAGGGAGGTAATTCAATACCACCAAGCTTGCTGGTCTGCCTGCTAGGAGTGAGATTTGCAGTGAAGGGAGTTGCATGGTGTGCTTGTGGTGATGAAAAAGGACAGTATATCTAGTCATGTTCTGTTGGCTATTCCTGTCAAGCTCTATGAGTGGCGAGGGTTTTGCACTGTCAAGTGATTTTCATAATTGTGAACTAATAAGCAACTTTGCTAGGGTCTGTACACGGATACTACGAGAGCCGGAGAAGGCTTCAATGACAGCAGGCCTAATAGGATCGAGCAAGCTACAAAGGTACAGACTGAATCAAGAAGAAGAGAACGACGTAAACGAGTAAGTGCTTGTCTTCATTCAAACAATGTAACCCATTATTTCTCATCTACCTATTTAGCTCTATCAAAGCCGTAAAAAGTATATTCGGACTCCAAAGGAAGAGAAGAAATGGATGGAAATAAGTTTCGAATATATGACGGAAGAGAGCGAGGCTAGTGATGGGGAGAAAGTAACCAAGCATTCTTTGCCATGGCGTTCAGAAAGTATGTAGTTTTTGTTTAATCACTCTTGACTCTCTGACACTGATTTTACAGAGATTAACAAGTTGGTCCGAAAACTGGACAACCGTTCAGGGCAGGCACCGGGAAAGAATGTTTTCCTAAAGAAAGAGCGGATAGATAAGTCTCCGTCACTTATTTCTCCTCCCTCTAATTCGCCCAGGTGGGCTGTGCGCCAGTCCGAGGGATCAGCTGCTGAGCCTGGTTCTACTCCCTCCAGAGCGGAAAACAATTCAACGAGCAGGAGACTAAATCCACCATCTCCAGAGTGCTTTAGTGACACTAATATGGACTGAACTACTGTATGTACTCTATATACCTTGTGGACTGAACTACTGTATGTATACTGTGTTTTATTCGAATCTGACCTGACATTTTTTGCGCATGCGTAACGTTGATGAACGGGTTATGAGCGCGGAGTGTGAGACGGGGATGTAAACGGATTCTAACGCGGTGATGAACAGTGTTAGGACGGACTGTAAACGGAGCAGTGGGCGGACAGTCCGTCATAAAAGTGGTCCCATCACGGAGGAAGAACGATGTCCGCAACTGAAGAACACGGAGACCCGTTCGTTATCCGTCCCTGCGCGCATACGTTGTCCGTTTCACGCGCGAACGGTAGCCGCGCGCATGGCGTTGAGTTCCTGTGCTACTCAACAGTGCTTTTAACCCTTTGGATACCATGGGATCTCCATAAATAAGCAGAAATTGATGTATAACATATTAACACCTAATATTATAGCCATATGGAGGCTGTGGGCATAATTATATATATATAAGATGGAAAATGTCGTCAGACAGCAAATACATGCCGGTATATACAGCCACAAGTGCAAGGATTGCAGTGGCGCAGAGAAGCTACCACCGACCGATGTCCTGGTAGGAGGGTCCCGGGTTCTGTCCCAGACCCTCCTACCAGGGACGCCACCCCTGAGGCCACGGCGGCCCATAGTCCAGACACGGCACGAAAGGGCCAGCTCTGTGATGCCATCTGTCTCCCCCTACCATTGCACCTTCACTCAGACAATCTATATAGAGGCCATGTCATGGCCCACTTGATAATCATTATTTCGTGTTCTCAGTGTAGCTACTCAGGGGCCCAGTGATTATCTGTGTACCAAGCGGCTATTACATTGCCCAATCATTGTCATCTACCGATACCACAGCACTGCGTAACGGGGCATGGCAAGGAAACGACACTTGAGCTGCCCTAGGCATGCGCTTAGTATTATATGCACGCGGTAACGTGCACACGGCTACCAACCTGCCAAACGATCAAACGACAGACGACCAACAATTTCCACATGACAACGATCGAATGCGGTTCTATTGCAGGATCGCGCCTGGTGGAAGGGCGACTGGGTGTGGTGTGTCTCTCTGGTGGCATGGATGTTGAGAGGTTGGAAGTCGATTGTCCTTCTGGGCGTGCCATTATTTTTTGCACAGATGACCATGCGGTGGCACCATGTGACTGGTTCTCCAATTGGTACGGGTTCCAGCACTCCAAATCTCACATCTCTGTCTAGGCCGGCTTTGACGCCGTCTTGCCAGTGGAGAGGTACTGGTATGGGTGAGTGATGGGCGGTGGGGTTTGCGTGTGGGTCGATCATTAGTCTCACTGGTGGGCTGGCCATGAGTGGTAGGGTCTGGTGTTCGCAGATGTTGAAGGTGCTGGAGCTGTAGTAGTCCAGGAGGTATTGCTGGAGTTTCTCCCTATTGGCTTCCGTGGCTGGGTATGGCAGGGAGGTAGGGATTGGTGGTGGCTTTGTCCGTTTGGGGCATCGACATTCCTGTTGTGGTAGGGGGGTGTCGGTGGTGTGATGGCGTTGGCGGGGTTGGTGCCTTCGGCTTCATTCATTGCAGGGAATGTGTTTGGGATGATTCCCTAGGTCTACGCATGCTTCCCTGCTGAGGAATAGCTTGTCAATGTTGTCAGTCACGTAGACCATATGTCTGGTGGTTCGTTCTTCGCCCTTGTTGTTTTTCCCTGATAGCCTCAGTATGGCGGCACCCAGGATGCGTATGTCGTGGTTGTCCGTGGAGAGGCCGAGTTTCTTCACGATCTTAAGACCCGCTAGGCAACTTTGGCAGCCTGTGTCGGCCATGGCACTAACGAAGGACCACCTTGTGGTGCTCTGAGAGGAAACCCGAAGTGGTTGTATTCCTCCCGCCGGATGCTCATCTGTAGCCTAATGTATGGTTGAGGTTTGGATTGCCTCCTCAACCACACTTTTGTGAACTTGTTGAAGACATGGTGGTCTAGGGCGGTGCTTTTGGTGCCGTCCGTCGACGTGATCTCGCATAGTGTGTCGAATACTGCGTCCTCGTGCTCGGCGTTTTTTGCCGCCTCGTGACAGGCTTGCTCCTGCATACCTTCTCGAAGTGGTGGTCTTTGCCGCAACGGTTGCACTTGGTGCCATAGGCTGGACATTCATTTCTCCTGATTCTTGTTGGGGAATTCCTCCCGTGCCCTCTGGCCCCACAGTACGTGCAGGTATCCTGATCCTTTGGTGGTGGGCCTTTGGCCGGCGGTCTCTTCTGCCTCCTGTACGAGCTGCCAGTCACTGCGTCCGTTGCCTGTGGCAGTAGCAGGTGGGATGCTGACCTCTTCCCTGCTTCCTCGCCTCGATGAATCGAAAGACCTGTTCCAACGTCATGTCTTGGTTCTTGTTTCCTAGCAAGTCCATCTGTATCTCAGTGTCTTCCAGACCCCTGCAAAGCACGTCTTTGATCATGGCTTCTGTGTAGTCCACGTTGTCCTCGCACCCTGTACACTGTTGCGTGAACTTGCAGACGCTTGCCTGCCCCCTCAGTCTGGCTCCGAAGGCGCATATCGGCTCGTCTCGGTCTTGCCTCATGTTATGTAAGGTCACCCTTGCGACCATGGTGTTCTCTTCCCTTATGGCTAACCTTCTTATAGTTGTGAACACCTCGGCCATTCCAGTGAGGGTGCCCCCTGCGTTCCTAGTGAGGTCTTTGCGGAGCTGGTCGTCGCAGCATTGGATGATCCTGTCGGTCCCTTCCAACCTGGTTGCCTTTACATAGTCGTCCCATCTTGACTTGAAGTACTGCCAGTCTTTGGTCGTGCCAGCTGATGATACGCTCGGCCTCTTTACCTTCTCCACTCTCGCTGTCTGCGTCGGTCCGCTGGGCGTTTGGTGGCTGGTTGCATGAGTCGTGATGAGTGCGGCCGCGATCACTGGTTCCACGTCGGGTGTTGCGTATTCGCAGCCTTCTATCGGGCACTGGACCGTCGGCATCTCTGGACCGCGCGGTGGTGCTCTTTAATTGGGAGGCTTCCTGTTTGCAGTCATCTTTCGCTCCGACGGTCGAGGCGATTGTTCCGCAGTGCTCCGGTGAGTTGTATCTATCATAAATAATAAGGAGTAACCCTACTTGCTCACGTATTCAGAACTCGATTGAAACAGATGCTCTCATGAATCAATGATAGATACAACTGATACATGAATAAATGACGTAAGGGTCATTAGTTAAGTATGTGTTAGGTAACCATGTTCAATGTTCTCTAGTATGAGGGTCCCATTCTTAGCAATGATGATGAAGAAATGATTACCAATACTTGGCCAGCCCTACATTCCTCTGCTGAGCCTCGTCCTAGGGCAATGGAAGAAGGCGATCACACTAAAATCTAAGTGAGCGACAGAGCCTAGCTGGCTTAGATTTTAGTATGTCATTCCAGTGGGCTCTGCTATGGGTTAACGTGAAAGAAAGGGTGGAGTGTTCGGCCGTAAGTTTTGGATGTGGAAAAGTTTTGGCTGTGGAAAAGTAACCCTAGGACGAGGCTTGGCTGTTTACAGCATCGCCAGACTCATTGGATATATGGACGTGCAGCGAAAGTATCCGAAGGGCAATGACATTCCTCGGTTATTATAAATGCATGTGCATACAGTGTGTACCAGGCCTCCCATAAAAGAGCCTGGGGACGAAGCTAGCGCATACGAGTGTGTGCGTCTACTGCGCTGGCAACTTACACCCATATATACCTGACAGCATGTGCTATATAGCACAAAGCCCTTACACATGCAAAATAGGACATAATACGGACCCAGACAATGAGTCTTGCGATGCTGTATGTGTGGGCCGGAGCACATGCAAACTCTATAATAGATAAAGACCCACCAATAGGGCTCTCCATAGTGTCTGCATGAGTTATTGGCCAGTGACAGGACATTATAATAGAGCTGTTGGTTGACCCAGGAACCTTCTCCTGTTGAATGGAAGAACCAGAGAGACAGACAGACAGAGGTAGAGGTAGAGAGAAGAAAAGAGGACGAGAAGGGAAAGGAAGAGACGAGCAGGTCAGTAGAGTCCCCATGGTACAAATGGCAATGGCAATTAAAATTTTCGCACAGATTGTGGAACAGAAAATTTGCAGGTCGCAAGGCATATGTTACGACATAGAGGTATTGACCGTACAGTGTCCTGACAGGGAGCTCAACACACAACCACAGAATTGAAAGGCTTTGGCGAGATCTACACCGAAGTGTCACAAAATTATACTATAAACTTTTTTATCATCTCGAAAGTCTTCAATCCCTTGATCCTTTAAACGAGTTACATCTATTCGCTTTATGTGTATCTTCCCAGAATCAACAGGAGCATTGAATTGTTCAGAAACGCATGGAACCATCACGGCTTACGTACAACACATCATTCCTCGCCCCTACAACTCTACACATCAGGTTCCCTAAGACTGCAGCAAGCTAATCTTCCTGCCTTGGATTTTTTCCACAATATTGACACTACCTATGGAGTTAACCAGGATGAGCTTATGCCAGCCACTGAAGGTGTCCACGTGCCAGAGAACCGACTGAACCTAACACCAGAGACTGTTGCAGTCTTGCAGCTTCATGTGGCCCCTTGGCTGAGAGTGAAAATTTTGGTATACAGCTGTATGAGTCAACGGTGGCATTTTAGAAACCCACATGCAATCTAACTGACATATCACGATTTTGTGCCTTTCATCACTATTATTTTTGACTCCCATTATTGTGCCATGTATAGCAGACAGTGAAGGTATACAGCTCCCATCTGTTTAACCCACTGCCCCAGTTCTTATGGTGTCCGTGTGATAAAAACTGGTTAGGTTTGTCTTGTGCTTTGTCAATGACTATAATGGTGAAACACTATATACAGGGATGCGCCCGTACAGAGTACTCTGTTTCTTCCCTGGAAAAGTGTCATAATATGTACATCTCGTACACATGCCTTGTCACACAAGACCCAAAGGAGAGCTGAATCTCACATGCAAGACACCCTAGCTTGCTCCATCCCCAATGATGCATAATACTGTGAGCATTATAGGAAGATATTATAACAACTTCCTTCAGAGTCAAGTAAAAACGTAG